TGGCTCTATAAACCAATATCGAACTACTTCCGCGGTATCTAATAGGTCAAAGGGTAATAAAAATTTCGTAAGAATTAGTTTCAACGTTCATAAACTCAATTTGTGTCGAAGATTTATGCGACTAACTTCGGAGGCCAGGTAAACTCATTGTAATGGCCACATAGTATAGGTCGCGCATGTTGTTTACGACGTATGAAGCCATATGTTTTGTAGATTTACGGCGAAACGGTCTCGAGGCCAGACCGGCGCACTATGTACGTGTAGAACATTTAAACCCATTAAGCTTTGCCCGCCGCCGCCATTAAATCTGATTACTCTCTTAATTTTACATTAACGGACCACCTCCTAGCTTTTACCCATCATAACAGCAATTTCTTACATTGCTACCACATTTTCCCTTATTAAATGGATTACCCACCTAGTTTCAACTCGATATCGCGCACTGCAATTTTATCTTTAACACGTGTAATCTTCTACAAATAGCGATAAGCTTCAGATGTTTTCCATTAATAACTTGAACGTTTCACGTTTCATTTTCACCTGTCCGTTATTCCCATTGGAGTTAAAACCCTATCGATCCCAGAGACGATTTCCAATAAAATAAGACTACTTGAAATTAGAGTCACGAGTTCCTCTGTAAACTATCACGACTCGTTCTGGGTACAATGGTTACGTTGTTATTCTATTAAGGTTACCCGGGGGTGAAAGTATCGCATCTGATTGGCTATTGTGGTGCGCACAGGACTAACAGCCATTCTGGATCATGATTTCACTGCAGCCCATTCATCCGCCTTGACATGTTGATTGTCGTGCGAAAGCACCAAACGGCCACACGATCATTTGTTATTCAATTCTCCTATGTGTGCTTTGTCGATGGAAGAAGAGAAACGCAGTTGCATTAGAAACGTATCATTAATTAGTGTCATATCTCCGATTGTTTATTATCTAGCTTCGCAACATTACTAATGAAGTACTGACAGTTTTTAAATCCATTACCAAAATGTGTGCGTGAAAGTTAAATGGCTCTAGGAGAATGTTACTCTATCACGTTGTGTCGTGACAGTGTCGTGTAATCGTGATCGTATGATGTAATCATTGACCTTGCTAATGCAGCGACCTGCATCCTTGCAACACATTGTTCATGCGAGATCGTCGCAGGGTCAGGAGTAATTATTGCCGGCACTTTGTGACTCCCACGATTCGTTAGATGAGGACGGGGCCTTGCATAATTCGCTTTCCGTGTCAAGATGTTTCGTCTTCATTGAAATGGTCATTGCGTTAATTGTACGCTACTGACTTTGTCGTATCTACTTACCGCATTTTTCCCACGAATTAGTAAATGGTCCATTTCCTTTTACAGCATTTTCTACATTTGCTGTAAACTATCTATTAAAGCATACCTTCTTCGGGTTTTCTCGTAATCTCTGTCCAATTGTCCGTTTCCTTAAGTATAGTTAGGATGTTTTAACTGTTTTGCTAATGTTTGGCCTTAGACTTGGTGAGCGATGACGCGCGTCTTGCGCAAATGACCACTGTTCCGAAACAATGCGCTTTACATAATCAATCATACGCTACATATGAACCGAACACTCGTAACGTTTGTTATTGATCAGTGTTTGTGCAGCCGGCCTTTATCTCGATGGTATGTTAAGTAGCGCAGATATAGACGTCCAAATATAAGTAGTAATCTAGCCTGGGCATAAGTAGCAATATACTATAAATATCTCTTCAGGAAAGAGTTAAAATATAAATTAATGTATAATGCCTCGTAACAGGATGCAGTTTTCTTATTAATTTGTTAGGAATGATTTAATTAATGTAAACATGTATAATAATTAAACAAAATAAATTAGATTGCCTGAGCAATAAAACTATTAATAAGCAAATATAGATAAGAGTATTATACGCGTGACTTCACCAATCACCATTATACAATTTGCTTTCCATTTATAAGTTACTATAGATTTTACAGTTAAGTAATATTATTAAGTATTACAAGAGTCACGGACATCGTGATTTACAGTTAGCCATAACTTAAAAATAGTACATAACTCTTACGAGCGATTTCATAAATAGAGCTCCAATGCAATCTTATCGTGGTAAGAAGATAAGTTTTACAACAATGTTCAGATGTTCAAGATGTTTGGTTCCAGTAGTCGATTATTGTCATTTAGCCTAGGCGCAGACTAAAGACTTTTAGTTGGCTGATAGTTAAGCCCGATTCTAATTTGTATGAAGAATCGGCCGATTCAATGTGCGTACTTTCATACATATCCATACTGATTAACAGCCAGACTCAACTATCGGCCAACTAAAGTCGGTGGTCTGCGTCTAGGATTAGAAAACTAACTTTTGTTTTTATTATTCATTACCAATATTTATTACAACATGATTTCCATCAAAAGTACAGGCTTACATAGACAATACATATTGTACATAGTTAATTATTTTTTATGTAATAAATTGTGAATTTACCGTGTCTTTGCGTAACAGTTTATGAGAACATTCTAAAAAGTTCCTCATACAATAGTAAAAATAAATGAACTTTGAGATATTCCACGATTTTGCCGTGAGAGCTATGTTTGGAATGTTAGACGCTTACCATGACTTTTCTTGTTAACCACGACGAAAGCCATTTGAAATAGACACTCCTGATAACTCTTTTGGAATTTCTGTGACTAGGAATAGCTGAAAAACAACTACTACGATTATCACGATCTTTGTTGAGAATCTTGCAACGGTATTTTAATTTTACACTACGACTCACTTTCCATTTAAAATAAAGTACCTAATATTGACACTTTTAAAAGTTATTATGTTTCTTTGATTTCATGAGCTATTCTCAATTAAGTTGCCTTATTATTGTCATCATCATCAGCTCATTTGAGTCTCAGATGCAGGAGCACAATTCTCTCTTTATTTACCAGAATCAAAGACACTGGCTGCCCACGGTGACCAGAAGGGCTAAGGGTGCCTGATGTTCGCATAATTTGTCCTCTTTTTTGTCTTCTTTTACGACATTCATAATCATAATCATAATCATTTATTTATTGCTTCATAAGTGTACATAGGTGGTGATCTTAAACTTAGTCTCAACTTATGACCCTGTAAGGGTGTTGCAAATCTTGTATCGTAGGTACATTACTAAATATTCTACAATAGTTAGTAATAATTGTTAATATTGATAAATTATAAAATTAATTAGTTTACATAATTTTACATTACAATTAAAATACAATAATGTTTCTCCATACCTATTCATACATAATTTTCATCATCGCATCCTACTCAAATTATAGAACTCCTGAATACTATAAAGACATTTTGATATAAGGAACTCTTTTAGCTTGGCCAAGAATAATGAGTCTTTTTCAATATTTTTTAAATAGGTAGGCAGTTTATTATAGACTACTATGGACATGTGGTAGACTCCTGATCTTACCAGGTGAAGCTTAGTGNTATGAAATATAAAATTTGAAATCCCGCATCTGAAACGAAAAATACACTGTCAGCATCACATGTGGAACGTGGCATTAGGTTATGAAAAACCCCATTGCGGAAAGAAATACTTACGAAGGCTGTTCACTAATTTGAGCTTCGCTCGCAGCCCTCAGCAACCCAATACCCTCATCCGAATAGAATTTAGGGAATTTCTGAAAGAAACCATCACATAAAATACCACGTACTGGAATACGAAAAATATCAATCACGAAAAATAAATAAATTCTCCGACGGGAACTTACCTCATGTGTGATTATTTTAAATTATATTATGAAATTATCGTGGATGCATTCTGCAACACACGATTTAAAACACAGGGGATTACATCCCCGAAAATAATAAAATTGCGGTTGCGCACGATCGACAAATTCCTAAGTGATTTGACAGCTCCACTGACAGCCGCTCTGTCATAGACATCGCGATACGTTTCGTTTCGCCGTTTGAAAAAGTAGGTAAATACTGTACTAATTAAACCATGATGAAAACAATCTCCTGAACACTGAAAATATTCTATTAAAAAATAGAATAATCACAATAAAAACATTAGGAAATGTTTCAATAAAATATATTTGAATTGACTGAGCAAAAAGCGCCATCTATTGCAAATTAATTCTAAATCACGCCAATAGATGTCGCTAGTGGTATCCAAAATCAGAATATTGAGAAGAAATATTAATTTGTGAAAAAACAGCAAAAATTGCAACGTTACAATATATCAAATACACCGTCCAATTCAAAATTATCAAAGTTAAACACCACATTGTACAACACTAGATTGTTTACTCAACAACTCATTAATTTGCTAATCTATAGCTCGTTTATAAATAGACACTCTCTTAACAACACTGTACATTGCTACTTAGTTTTTATGCAATATCAACCCTTAGCATTATGTCCACAATGTTCACAATCACTGATGTATGATAACATTAGAATTTTCTTAGAAAACAAGAAATATATTATTTATTGTGATGTTACAAATAATAAATGTTTCTTAGTGTCACTGTATTGTATAAGTGCTCCGTTCAAGACGAAAGGCGACGCGAGAACAGATATAGGCACATAATTAAATTAAAGCGCTCACCGAGTGATAGTACTCGGTACGATATCGGTTAATGTAATGGGTTGTAATTTTCTCGCCACCATATTCATTTATCTATTATTTAATTCTGGCAACACTGATCTGGATAGCATGAACAATTAAGAAATTATTTCGTTGCGAAGAACCACTGTTTAAGGTGGAATGGAGTTTTGTCTCTTTTCATTGCAGCTACCATTTTGGCTGAAATTCTACTGTTTAATTTTGTATTTAGAAAGTTGCAGAACGATTTTAAGCTTAGGCGCACACTACAGACTTTTAGTCGGCCGATAGTCGGGCCCGATTCTAATTTGTATGAAGAATCGGCCGATCCAACGTGCGCACTTTCATACATCTCCATACTGATTAACAGCCCGACTCAACTATCGGGCAACTAAAAATCGGTGGTCTGCGCCTAGGTTTAAATGTATGATAATAAATACTTGTCATATTCAAATGTTACGTAAATACCTTGTTTGATATGTGATTGGGAATTCGTTGGTCCTTGGTACACGCCATTGACGGGATTTACTGTATTCTGTAAAACAAACAGCATGTCAAACATTGATATTTTATTAATAATCGTGTTATCAGTGATAAATAATTACGAATTTCGTGATAATTGCTGTAATATAATCAATATTGGGTGTGTAATACATCATTGAGATAACGCACTTGAGTATATTATGAATAAACATAATATGCAATTATAGCATGTGTTGAGGAAGGTTCAATTTTTGGTGCAAAATAGTGACGTGACTACGTGACGATATTTTCCAATCAAATAACTTCCAATCAAATAACCTTAGATAAAGTAAGGAGCATTTGATCGGAAAATCATGAATTATGTGATTCATAATAGTGTGTAAAAATATAATAAAGTGAGCATAATATATAATAGCGTCAACTGTACCTTAGCTATTTGAAGAAGCACTATGGAATGTTTAATGTTATCCAACATTGCCTGCAAACAAAAAATAACGGTCTATGACTACGCTGAAATTAATCGCAATTTGCAGTTAAAATAGCCCATTAACATTTACACATAAAATACAATTTTATCATTTTTTCTTTTAAATTATAATTTAAAAGACTGTTAAATAATATGAAGCGTATAAAGTGTCTTCTATACGAAACGTTTATTTGTATGGGGATGGTCGAGTATTTCTGTTGTTTAGGCTTTGTTACAGGTTTGAATACGTATTTGCACCATTATTTCCTTACATTAATTTATCACACTTACATTGGAGTGATCTAAAATTACTTGTCCTTTACTCTTTTCATGAGGATCAGCTAGTTCCGATACTCGCGTGTTCATTTTCTGAAACAAACAAAATGCAATAAGCTGGATCAATAGATTCAAAGTGATCTCTCGATGATGTCATAATTTTGTAGTCGAAAACTCGAAATACTGACAAATGGCTAGAAGATATCGGCGAATCCCAAAGTGTCTCCATGCGGAAATCAGCTCGATCAAGATTTGTAAGACTATCCATGCCAGTGTCATGAGGTCCCCCATTGACAATGTCACAGAGCCACCAACACCAGTGAAGACGCGATTGACGCTAACGCGTTGTTGGCTCCCTTAATCGATACTAGCTCAATTATGTATGATCTGCAGGTAAGCGCATTGAAGAAGCGGCGCTCCGGCGCTTTAGGTCGCTGTCATTGACGCAATATCTTTAACGCATTCACCCATCGCTCTCACTATCTAGCTGACTCTCTCACAGACACTAGCTCGATCATGATCTGTAGATAGCTGCTTCAGAGATGCGGCGCTCTAGGTTTCCAAGTCGATGGCGCAGGGACGGCATAGACCACGATCAGCGCTCGCGCCGGCCATGCCGCGATATCGTGTCTTCCAACGCGCGCACCCACCGCGCTCTGATAGTCGTGACGCGATATCTTCAACGCATTCACCCATCGTTCTTTCTCCCTTACCGATACTAGCTCGATCATGATCTGCAGGTAGGCGTCTGCTTCAGAGGCATAGACCGCGACCAGCGTTCGCGCCGGCCGTGCCGCGATATCGTGTCTTTTAAAGCGCGCACCCACCGCTCTCACCAGTGGCAACGCGTTATCTTTAACGCATTCACCGATCGCTCTTTCTCCCTTACCGATACTAGCTCGATCATGATCTGCAGGTAGGCGTCTGCTTCAGAGATGCGGCGCTCCAGGTCGCCATGTCGATGACGCGGGGCGGGCATAGACCGCGACCAGCGCTCGCGCCGTCCGTGCCGCGATATCGTGTCTTCTAAAGCGCGCACCCACCGCGCTCTGATAGTCGTGACGCGATATCTTTAACGCATTCACCCATCGCTCTTTCTCCCTTACCGATACTAGCTCGATCATGATCTGCAGGTAGGCGTCTGCTTCAGAGATGCGGCGCTCCAGGTCGCCATGTCGATGACGCGGGGCGGGCATAGACCGCGACCAGCGCTCGCGCCGGCCGTGCCGCGATATCGTGTCTTCTAAAGCGCGCACCCACCGCGCTCTGATAGTCGTGACGTGATATCTTTAACGCATTCACTCATCGCTCTCGCTCTTGCTTCCTTACCGACACTAGCTCGATCATGATCTGCAGGTAGGCGTCTGCTTCAGAGATGCGGCGCTCCAAGTCTCCATGTCGATGGCGAGGGGCCGGCATAGACCGCGACCAGCGCTCGCGCCGGCCGTGCCGCGATATCGTGTCTTCTAAAGCGCGCACCCACCGTTCTCGCTCTGAACCGTCTCTGGCCTGGAACAACCACCAATATTTTTATTATAATTAAGATGACGGTTTGATTATGAATGTTGAATAATTTATGCGACAAATACTATACAGATTGATTGGATTGGACATTGATCCGTTTGTATTAGTTAGGACTAAAGCATCGTCGTCGTCTGATAATGATTTTAGAACTACTATTACTACAGATTTCCTTCTAATGGCAACAATAAAGGAATTACCGAAATCAGCTTGTCTCCAATTACTTAAATGCTGCTTCAGTTAATCATAGTAGATTAGAGCGATCATCTAAAGTACCGACCTGACTTTATTGAACATAATCCGAACTTCAAATGAATGTTTTAAGTTCTATTGATTCAATGAAGAGTCGCAACATTTCTTTTACCCGCTTTCACGTATGATGTTATTTGTATCTCAAGCGACAATCAAATTCATCCAAAACACATACACGCCTCAAATGACTCGCATTGCTTGGAATGAAGTGATTTCTTAAAAGTTCACCTGTTTTGTTTAAATTGACAACAACCATTTCATCGAATTGTTTCGTACAGAAACGTATGTGTTACGTAAGTAAAAGTACTTATTTTGGAGACAAGTGAAATAAAAAAATCAAAGCTATATTGACAGAGATAATTTTATGGCCATAATGCACGCAGAACTGACGGCTGATGGGGCAGCTAGGTTCTGGAGTTGAGTGAGTGGAAATCACCACACCGGGAATCCACCCACAAGGTGGACCGACGACATCGTAAAAGTAGCAGGAAGGCGCTGGACGCGGACCGCTACCAACCGGGCAACATGTAAAGCATTGGGGGAGGCCTATGTTCAGCAGTGGACATCCTATGGCTGAGATGATGATGATGATGAATGCATAATGACAATTTCTTTAAACCAATCAAGCTCTCATATCGAGCGAGATACGTTTTGTCTAGATTCTTATATTGAAAGATACGGCATAGAGAGGAGTTGTGTCAGAAGTATGTAGTACACTGGAGTCGGCGGTCGGTACAGCAATTTAATAATATTCGTAACAATGCGGTATTTGTTATATTTCTAGGGATCACACAATGGTCGGAAGCAAGCTGGCAGTTCGACTAATGAAGTTGATATCGACTTGTTTACACAATGAACGTATAATACAATAAGGACAGCAGAAAGAAAGACGGAATTGAACTGTGCCAAAGTAGGTAGGTTCTTTGGCACAGTTAGTCAAGATTCGGCAGCTTGAATTAGTCCAATTTTCAGAAATAAAGATGATTTCTTAAGTCTGTAAAGGCTTTGGTTCCGTTGAACCATGTCTGAAGGATCAGGTGACGAATAAAAATCGTCACCACCATGTTGTAACAGCCCCAAAGAGAGAGAAGAAGAAGAAAAAACCAATAAATAGCGAAGATAGGAATAAATAGTGGTCACCCTGAATTTACAGATTTACCTTTATCAAAATAAAACTAACCGGCCATTTTGTTCTGTGGATACTTTTGTTGGACTTTTATTTTGTCTTCGATAGCAGTTTTGAAATACAACTGTCCTTATTAGAGTCCATTTAGTTAGGTAATAGCCTGGCTGGCAGGCAGGCTAAGGCTATGGTCGTAGAATCATCACGAATTACATGGAAGTGGAACGTCTTGTGATCGATCTTGATTGATGGTGAAGGTAGAGCCGTCTACTACAATGTTATGTCTTGTATAACACAGATAATTGTGACCAAATGCAGTCATAATAGGGTTAGACAGAGAATTGTGACCAAATGCAGTCATAATAGACAGTGTCTTGGTTATAGAAGCATCACGAATTACACATACCTGAAAATGGAAGGTGTGATCGACCGTGATAGTGAATGTGGAGTAGTCTTCTTTACCTTGAATAACGGAGACGGTGACCGATGTAGTCACGATAGGGTATTGCAACATGCGAAAAATAGTGTATTGTCATAGAGTTTTCAAGAATTACACATACCTGGAAGTGGAACGTCTTGTGGTCGACCGTGATAGTGAAGGTTGATTCATTTCATCTACTGTGCCATTGATAACACAGATATTGTGACCACAGAAAATCGATGTGTCTATTATAAAAAAGTCTGAAAAAGTTGACAGTCTATCATCGAAGAGTCTTCAAAAATTACACATACTTGGAAGTGGAACGTCTTGTGATCGACCGTGATAGTGAAGGTGGAATAGTCTTCTTTACCTTGAATAACGGAGACGGTGACCAATGCAGTCACGATAGGGTCAACATGCGAAAAATAGTGTATTGTCATAGTTTGCAAGAATTACACGTACCTGGAAGTGGAACGTCTTGTGGTCGACCGTGATAGTGAAGGTTGATTCATTTCATCTACTGTGCCATGGATAACACAGATATTGTGACCACAGAAAATCGATGTGTCTATTATAAAAAAAAGTCTGAAAAAGTAGACAGTCTATCATCGAAGTCTTCAAAAATTACACATACCTGGAAGTGGAACGTCTTGTGATCGACCGTGATAGTGAAGGTGGAGTCGTCTTCGTCGTCGATGCCGATGACAGCCGCCCGCAGTCTGACGCAGCCGCGGCGCACTCCTCGCATCATCTTCTCTTTTGACTGGAAAGATAGAGAGGAAATATTAATTAATAAGTTTGTCGCATATTTTGGAGAATGCCTGTGTCTAAGGTCTAATGATACATGTGCCTAATAACGCCCGTATTCACAAATATTACTATGAGGTCTCACAGTGCGCGTGAATGCACAGGGTGACATACGAACCAATCACAGAGCTCTATTCAACATTGTGCGTTCGATTTGCTGCTTCACTTAAGCAAGCATCGTTTGTGAATACGGGTGAAATATCTGAGGTTAGGTTTCAATCTATGATAAGGGGTGTGCAAGCGTTGGCAAAAAATTCACGTCTTGTAAAAATATCTTTACTTGTAGTATACCAAAAAAGTTTTGCTTCAAAACAAGTAAAGTTACCTTTTTAAATTATTTTCACATTAAAAATAACAAGGACAGCCATTGAATCGTCAAATAACAGCGCGTGCGCATAAAACAAAATCGCTAATCAACCGTTCAATTGTCCTTTTGAATTTTAAATATGTACACACAAACTTACATTATATATGTAAATATCTTTGATTTTACAGGATGATCTGAATGATTTGTTTGATAGTCGTATTCACGACAGTGAAATTAAATAAATATGAAATAGTTACAATTGTTATGCCTCTTTTAATATCGCTAGGGATGTACGGCCGCGTGATCCTGCAAACCATTTTGATAATATTTGTCTTTTTCATTTAAAAGTGCAGCACTTCTACGGGACTGTGTGTGTGATGTTGATTATTAAAAAAGTTTATCTAAATTCATTCTTTACTGTCCTGCAAACTATAAAGTTGTCACAAAGCCCATGACAAATAAAATCGAATTGAATGCATCAAAAGGAATCAGACTGTAGATTGTTTTGTAAATTCTATCGTCCACATTTTACATGCAGGTTTAGGGCCAGTTAGAATTTGAACTCGTGACGTGAAGTGAAATCGCAAATATTTGAGGATTTTGAAGTTAACATGGACGCCATTCGTCGAGCTTACAATATCGTATTTTATGAGAGAGCAGGTAATAAATTTGTACTTATAAAAGCTTCCTTTTTGCCAAAATTTTAACATAATTTTACTGTGCGGGACTTTTTTCGGCAGACCCATGTATTTGGGCCTTCTTTACCAACGACTTCATTTCGTGATCAGTGATATATTATTACGAATTCCTCAAAATCTTACACGTAAGTTAAACTTCTGGAATTTACAGAATTTGTTAGACCTTCTACAACCGTACATTCCAATTAGTATAGGCATTTTTAGTAATATTGTCTGCAAAGCTTGAAAGCCAATATTCTCAACTTTATTTGCTTATTTTACCCGAAGATTTCGCCATCCAACATCTTTATAAACAAAGACAAAAGCGATCTTCCACAAACACTTCTCCAATAAAATTTGTAGTTAGTTGCTTGACATTTGCAACTCCAGTGGTGATAATTCAGCGCTAACCGAGGTGGCATTTAACTGAACGGACGCTACAATTGCTGACCGGGGAGTTAAGGGGTTTCAGTTTATGTCACAGAAAATTAGGGTTTGGCTTCGTCGCTTCTGCTATTTCACTTTTCAGAATACTTGTCATAAAAAGTTATAAAGGAGCTTTTCTTATTCATTCATAACATTTGACGTCTAGAACTCCAGTTAATGTAGAGTCCACTCTACATTAACAAATAACCCTCCTTCTGGCACAGTCGGGTACAAATGTTTCAAGTCATTACTTCACCTCGGAAAACTTTACCGAACATTAGACCTCCCTTTCCATACACACTTCGCAATATTCCACACCAGCAGTCATTTGTTAAAACCTTTTTTTTCTTCTGCATAACTTTGCAACTATGCAACCGAGTTCCTCTCACCGACATTTTGCTTTGTTACAAAACACTTAGGTGAATTCAATGACGTTTTGAATTTATGCTTTAATTTAGAGGTGTCCAAGTTGTCAGATCGAGACTGAGATATGGATTTGGTCCAATTCCGCCGACCGATATAGACGTCTGTCTCTCTTACAATTTTTGTGAGTGACAAAGACGGATATAGTTGACACATCGAAATTGATTTGCAAAGTAGCGTCGGTTCACGATGGGTTAATTCATTCCGATTATTGACCGATAAGGAAACAATAGTGTGCAGATATAGAACGGTTCTAGTGACCCGCGATGATATAACATCAAGTCATACCGGAAGGTTTCAATTTGAATAATAAGTATTAAATTTTACAGTAATATTATTTTTTAAGTATGCTGTTTCATATTAGTCGCCGTAGTATTTGAAATAATATCATATAGTACAGTATAATAGTTTACAAGCCTTGTTTTTATTGTAGAGATACTATGTAATAAAATAATGCACTTTTTTTTATAAAAAATATTATACAATTTGAACACCGAAATAACCTGACGATATTTACCTCGTGTCTATTTAAGGTTCGAATTAATCATTTGGAATTGACATTATTAAGCCGAAATAGGATCCGATATTTGACTTCCCAGAGGTCCTAGAGCACAACAAAGAAAGGTCAAAGTATCAAAGTAATACAAGATCCCTATTCATTACCATTTCATTTTGCAAAGAGCCTGTTGCCTTTAAACGTGAAAAAGCTGTTTGGCCTCTTGATGGATTAGTCAGGCTCAGGTCTCATTGTAAAATGTATTTTCCTTTCAATAACATCTAGCGAAGCTATACAGTAGATATTATAACCACAGAATAATAATAAGTATAACACGGAAAGTGTAACTTAAGAGTTAAGGAACTGGGAAAACAAAGACACCAAAAGGGAATTACGACAAAAAAGCTTCCGCAAAAGTTCGCGAAAAGTTTTCACGACTATTTCTATATCTAGTCCTCACTATTACAGTTGTATAGCTAAGTATAGAGCTATAGAGTGAAGAAAAAGCTTATTTGATAATGGTTAATAGTACTGGAGAAATTTCCAAAATCGCAACGAAAATAAGAAGAAATAGAACGAGTAAGAACAACTTTCATCCAACCAGATACAATGCTGATGACTGTCGCAGCGACATCAAAATTTTAATGGTTATAAAAACAGATAAATCACGGAATATTAGCTCCCATCCTGAGAATTACGCTTGACCATATTATAATGAATTATGCAACAAAAAAACTAGGTCGAACTGAACGTGATATAGTTTATCTCAGCTGCAATTTGGACACAATCCCTCTAACGAGTTGCATGGTCTAAATCACGAATTGTAAAGATAACAACAAAAAGAACATTTCTAGATCACATTATGACCTTGGAGGCAAAATGTAACATACAATCATAGCTAATTTTGATTGTCTGCTGATAACAAATGTCTTCGATTAGTTCTAATGCCATTTATAATGCCTAGGTTGAATGTGGTTCAGACAAGATATATTGATCTGATACAAACACTATTAAGTTATTGAATATTAGCGAATTGCCTTGCAGTATTCAACAGTGTTCAACAGTGTGGCTGCAATGATGATGATGATGTCCAGAAAAAAACTTGGCGGTTTTGAATTTATCTAGGATGGATTCAGTGCTTGGATATGATTCGTTACTTCGTTAGTCCAAATATTATCTAAGATTCGAGTCCATTGAAGCAACTAAAGATAATTATAAAATCTTTTCAGATCCCCGTGTCAAGGACTGGTTCCTGATGACGTCACCGTGGCCAGTAGCGTCGATCATAGCAACATACTTGGTTTTCATCAAAGTTATCCTGCCCAGGTTCATGAGGAACCGAAGGGCGTACGAACTGAGGACCATCATCAAGTGGTACAATGTGGTGCAGATTGTAGCCAATGCCATTGTTACTTGGGGGGTAAGTTGCACTACATATTACTATAAGGGTTTAAGGGTAATAAAATTAGGCGAGATACTTTAGACTCGGTCAACGTCAGGTCATTTATTCCCCACTGCAGTCTCCTTTCCTTTCGTCTCCATTGTACCAGCGTCTCTAATTTACCAGAGGCAAATGGAGGATTGCTTTGACTCCCCACATTGGCCAGACGGGTTGGAGAGGACTGACGTTCGCAAATAAAAATTGGGATATGGAACGACGAATTCAAAATGACAGTCATGGCAACAAAACAACTTGATACTTTATCGATATCATGTATCCACATTTAACGTGCATATCTCTTTGCCGTTTCGATATTAATATCATTCTCATTATAATAGCTTTACAATCTGATTGTCGAAATAGAACAATCTGAGAAGTGTCGAAATAGAACGACTGGTCCTGCGCTGCCCGCATACACATACCCGATTTTATATTTTTAATGATGATTTACTTAAATAGACGCAAATTCAGATAAAACATATAAACATTTGTAAAGATGCGTACAATGAAAAATTGTAGAGCACACAGGCACAGCTAAATCCACACATTTTCTTTTATAAAATATTAATTACATTATATACTTTAAATAACAGATAGCCTGGATTGCGTTTCATTGTATATTTTTATTGTGTGAAGTAACCAGCTGATTAACCAGTTTGTTTTGCGTTAAAACAAATATGGGTAAAAATATTGTACAAGAGAATGCATTTATTTTACGCCAAATATGTGTCACACAGTACTCTACTTACAGTAAGAAAATTTTAAACTTCTAGTCCGGGGATTAAGACCGGGTTAGTCTCATGTTTACGAAATAAGCGCTCCTAATAGAAATAATGGACTCCAGTCTTGCAGAAGAGTCGACTCTTAACTTGGATAGTAATTAAACTGCTCATATAAAGCATTCATCCATAGGTATTCAAATAACCGAGATTTTATGATGTTGATCGCAAACATTTCTAAAGTGACATTTTCAGCCACAAATGTTTTATTTTACGCAATCCTACGATTTCGCCCGTATTCACAAACATTACCTACTATGAGGTCTCACAGAGCAGTGAAAAGTGTCACACACGAACCAATCAAAGAGCTCTATTCAACGCTGTGCGTTCGATTAGCTGCTTCACTTAAGAAAGCATCGTTTGTTAATACGGGTGTTTGTCTTCACGCACTTTTGTTTTCTTGGTTATAACTAGTTAGGCTGGGATGATAAAAAAAACTGTTCAGCAGTTTGGCAAATTAGAATTAAAAAAAAAACCGACGTAACTTTTATAAGACAATAAATTAAAAATAAAAAGAGAATGGCGACTCAACCAACATTTTCCGTTAAAGTCTATCAGCGCCAAAATCATTGCAAAATCAACAGAAACTCAAATACGACTCAAAGCAATTGATGGAGAGGGTACACAGCACAAAGCCGAATTGTGGAGGGCTCTCTTTCCCTCCTCAGTCCCCCTTTGTGCCGAAATAATGGATCGCTGCTTTACGGAACAACTTTGTTATGTAACGGCAACGCTATTCTTGAAATTGAAACCTTTGGATATTGATTTGATACATACGAATCGGATTGATGCTAAATCTTCTGGCAACTTCAAAGAATTTACAATTGCATCAGACCTATAATAACATCCTGGATGAAAACATTAGGCGTATATAGAGGTAGTGGAAGAAATGGGTCCAATTCAAGAATCAGATATAGCATACAAACTTTCTCTACCGCAATCTAAAAAAATGTTTGAAGATTTTTTGGGATATGAAGTCTTACACATAGTATTATTGTCTATGCGCTTTAGCAGTAAGAAATTAAGATTAGAAAATATGCGTATGTTAAGTTTGTAAATAAATGAATGTTATGTGAAAGATCCAGACAGGTGGGGCAAAAGTACAAAAAAGCTCTAATAAATAAATTACTCGGTGAAAGACCGTTCTAAGAATATTATTCTAAATATTTACAACCAAAACATTGATAAATGCACATTTTATTGCTTTACAATCTAGACAATCATCATCATACATAAGCCACGAGTTAAAATAATTGAAGACGATTAGAAAAGTGGTAAAATTTACATAAGTGATGGATAGCCAAATAATGTAACACATCTACCTACATAATACCTAAAGAACGACTTTTAAAACAAGAAGAGGTATTATAGTATGGATGCTGTGGTGGACAGCCGCTCGGACGGGCGGAAATAACTAAGAATCCTTTGGTTTAATTAAAGGTGTATTTCTTCCAAAAATTCCAAGACGGCTATCAAAACATAAACTTAAAAACTAAAAAACAAAAGGTATCAAAAAGAAAAAAAAAGTATAAAACATAGACAAAATATCAAAAAAAGGTTAGTCCACCTATCGGTTCCCAACAGATACCTTTTTCGTCGGGCAATGCTGCGCATACCTACTGTACTCGTACTACATGGGGACGGTCTGTGGGTTACGTGGGATTCTCCCCGCCAGAAGAGCATATTGATACCTAGCCTTATCAAGCTGTAGATTCTGGCTACACCGGAGTTGCAGCGGTGGGAACGAGAGGTGGGAATAGACCCGTTAGCCTACCAAAATTTAAAAAAAGCTTACATTCAATAAACTCGAATGCTAGCCGAGCTTAAGAGGGAAGAAAGGAAAGGTATTCAAAGAATGCACGATGTCGGACTTGAACGCGACCGATAGTGCCACGCCTCATCCAGCACTTTCATATTAACCACGAATATTAGTCAGGCAGGTGACTCACGCGCAGTCGCGGATCTTTTGCAATTGTTCCAGCATTTTATTGTTGCACATTTCCCAAATTGGGCAAAGATATCGAATTCGTCATTCCTTAACTGTTTGAAAGTGACTGGAACTGAATCAGAACGAAAATTTAGACATACTATCAAAATGTATCAACAAACCATTGTCATTTTAACCACTGCCAAACACAAGACTATCCTAATGATTTCTAGATTGGCAACTATAGAAGTAATGCAAAGAAAAATACGAATATTAACATTACATTATGTACTACAGAAATAACCAATATAATTATTTTAACTAGCTAGTAATTATTATATTCAAACGTTACAGATAAGTGCTCTAATGTGAATTCACCTCAATTTTACTGTCGCTTATCGCCCGACCTTTCATTCAGAGGCTATTGCTTCAACAACATTACAATGTATTATCGCGGAAGTGAACAATTTAATTAATGCATTGTAGTGGTATCGATCGATCCTAAACTCGATTAAGATTCATAGATCAGTCGGCATCAATCTTCTGCAGAGAGCAAACGAAATAAGCTTAGAGGCATTGAATATATGAAACCATTACGGTTGAACGAACGCTCTGCTTTACTCGATCACGAGTCAAACTAAAATAAATAGATTTAAAAATGACATAAATCAAAGGGCTAAAAGGGCCATTCTCTTTTTTCGTATTCACTTTTAGAGGAAATAAATAAGGAATAATAGGAAAATCCAATTGTTCTGTCATAGTCATAATATATCCGGTTTGAAGGAGGATCAAAAAAGATATTATTCACTGGCTTATCTTGTCTTCTTTCTGCGATATTACGTATTTCGTTAGTGAATGAATCATTCAATAAACTCGCTTTATGATATACCCATTTTTGTGACATTAAAGATTTAACAATTAAATGATACGAGCGTATACAAAATGAAGCTAAAAGGTATTACCAAGGCTGGGTTGTACGATCTTACTTTAAATTTGACAAACGTCAAAAATCTGTCAAACTCCATACAAAAAACATCGGTTATCGTTATAGTAACGGCCAGCCTAACTGAAGCAAAAACGTAAAGTAACTGAAGCTTTCAATTTCTAGGCTTTTTCCTTGCATCCGTAGGTGTGAATGATAGCCTCTTCACAAGATAAATCTTGCATCACTTGTACGGAATCCCGATTAGGAGTGACACAATGCATATGGTTGGAGATTAATTACAATCCTCTGTTCTACGTGTGTCCGATTGAAAGGGCGTAATAATGAATAGTGTGGTAGAGCGAGACAATCATCACAAATGGAAATAGATTCAGTAAGAAACTTTTATGGTGTTTAGATCTGTAAGTTTGATCTTAGATTTTTTACCACTAAAAATGTTTCGTTTTGGTACTCAACAGATTTTCTGACATATTAAAGTTGAGGTGCTCTATGTAAGGTACTGTTAGGCTGGGCTTTGGTGAAGTCTTTTTAAAAAATGATAATTATTATTGCTAATAGAAATACACTGGTTGATTTTGGAAGAGGCAGCAGTCACGCACGAGTGGTAGCGAAGAACTCTATCCATCTCGGGCAAAAATTCTGATGCCGCAGGATTTTCTGGGCATCAGGGGTATTGTATACATCTGAGGGATGTAACAGTAGGTACGATACATCAAGGTATATTCTTTAAGTATTTTATGTAAAGGTTTCGATTTTGAATATAAGTAATGTCAGTAAGATTTGCAACATCATCACCAAATAAGAAGAAATAGAAATGATCGAGCTCCCAAACGTAATTAGATCAAATTATGGCACTGACATCGACCTCAATTGTGGTATAATTGGAAACGTCACACGGCTGCTATCGGTCAACGGCTCGAATCGATGTTATCTAAACACAGGGCCCGAGAACCAAACGTGTAATCGATTAGATTCGTGATTGTTGCTTTCATTGTTCGACACGGTTGGAATAATGGATTTTGGCGAATTCAATTCCATTTGAATGTACAGTAGGTTAGACGGCTGTAAATCAGACTACATTTTCATCCTTTACGTTGCACTGAAAATGTAGCTCTATATTTCGGGGAATAAGTCTAATCTTGGATTAAGATGTTTTATTTAATGGGTGGATTGGATCGACGACTTCATAAAGGTAGCAGGAAGGCGTTGGATGCAGGCCGCTACCAACCAAGCGATCTGGAAATCATTGGGGGAGGCCTATGTTCAGCAGTGGACGTCCTGTGGCTGAAAGTGATGATGCTGATGATTATCAGATCAGCCCATCAAGGCT